TTCACTAAAAAAAGGAACGTATGGTACTATAAGTTCCATTCGACCACGGGCTACCTTTTACTGGTTTGCTTTCTCTTACTTCAATACCTCTTAAATACATAGCGGTTATGAGCCTATAGTATAATTATGCCTCTGAAACATGGACCATGATGAGAAGAGAACAGGAAAGGCTACTGGTCTGAGAAAGAAGCTCATACGAAAGATATTTGGTAGAAAAAACATAAACGGGCAATTACTGAGAAGAATAAAACAGAACCTCAACATAATAGCAGTGATAATAACTTAGCAACTGAGATGGCTGGGTCATGTGTGGATAGAAATTGGTCTCAACCAGTCATTTAGCAGAAAAGAAGTGAGGAGGAAGGTCTATCTGTATCTGTAGAGTAGGGAGGGTGAGTGTAAGCCTACATCACTTAGGCCACATGTGACCCATTGTACATCCTTCCGAGGAGTTGTCTTCCTAGGTCATCGTCCATCCTGTCCTTTCCAGGAAGGTGGACAGGTCACTGGAAGACATCTGCTTTATATCGGCAGGTGTAGACCAAGACTAACCGAAAACACACTCTCTAATCGACTATAACTCCGGAAACTCGCATAGGACATGCCAGACAGTTTCATCTTTCTGTTCACACATCCTGCATGGAGGTGTGCTCACTAGCCCCATATTGTGGAGGTATTTCCTTAGTTGACAGTGGCCAGTCAGAAATCCTACTGTTAAGCGTAGATTTTTCCTGGTCATCGCCAGATATTTCTTCGGCGCCAGCTTTCCAGGTCCGCCCAGGGTGATCCTGGCAAGATTTCATCCTTTGATTTCATCCTATCTCTTTAGGAATTGAGTAGTTCCGCGATTGTCGAAATCATCAGAGCGTAGGTGCCACTGGGTCCTAAAATTCTCAGTCCAGTCGCTTCCTTGGCTAAAGAGTCGGCAATGCGATTACCTTATTCCACCTCAGAATAATGTTTTTCTCTACCGAGGCTTTGGAGGACGGTCTAATATAAATGCATAGAAGAAGTAGGAGATGGCAAGACATGAAGATTCTCAAAATAACAAACTGGAAGAGATGAACTGAAAATGAGAAAGAATGGTGAAAGGTTAGGTTAGGTCAAAAGTGAATGGGTCTATTCGACCCTCCACCGCAACCCGCAAGGGTTCATTATAGCTCACACCTATTCACAACGGTGGAAGGTATCAATAAGTCTAATATCCCGAGCAGAATAATTTCCTTGGTAAAGGCTACTGTTTCTCTTTCACAAACGTCTAACGTCTCTTAGTTGTGACATTTTTATTATTATTAGGTTTAAACTAGTGTTTGGCTTGACAGTGTCTCAAATCACCACATTGAACAATTCTGCAGGAATTCTAAAACATTGTTGACACCCCTTCCGTATTGGAGAGCGCAGATTGTTCAAATTCTCCTGCTACAGTCCTGTATAGATGTTGTAGATTTCAGCTACTTACTTTGTGGCATTAGACTGATCTCAACTACGTCGCTCCCATACGGATTAGAGACACTACAATTATACATTCCGAAGTGTCTTTCTTGGGACTCTCGAATGATTAATGTGGATTTGATGCCCTCCGGCAGAGGGTCCTCCAGGATGGAGTAGTCCTGGTCGTGCAAGTCGACCTCGTGCCCGTTGAACGTCCAGACGACTCGCTCCGGAGCTGGAATCGAGAATGCCGTGCATTCCACTCGAACGTTGTCACCCTCGATACCGAACTGGGTGCGGTGACTGATTATGGAGGGAGGACCTGAAAAATAAAAACAAGTGTTTCAGAATTCAATGAAAAAAATGAAAATAACACGCACTACACGAACGTTGAAAAATGTAGAAGTTGAAGAGGGTAAAAATCTCGAAACAGGTGATTTGCCATGTGTGAATACTTCGACCAAACGCTGACCAATTGGGAATATTGTTGATTTTGTTCTTGAAATTATTTTAAAACTATCATTGAGAACCCGACTTGAACCGGACAGTAGTTACAAGTCAATTTCGTTGTTCGAAATTTAAATGGATATCAATGATGTGAGTATCACGACCACGCTTGAAATTCGAAAAAATATTTTCATTTGCAGTTGGTGGGTACTTGCTGAGTAATTCTCGATTTATAACAATTATGGAAACAAATAAGAGTTCTTTGAGTTTCTTTCATATTTTCATTGTCGAAAACTTTATACAACAATTATTTTACTAACCTCCCAAAAATTAGCTTGAGCTCCAATAAAAACAAAAAAATGAACACTACTCCTGTTAGCTTTTTTCTAACGCTTATAATGTTAGATGAATTGAGAACAATCTTAATAAAAACTACCTCAAAGACAGCTTCAGGAATTGATGACATTAATGGAAGAGTTTTGAGATCAGTTGTGGATTTGATTTTTGTGAACCACTGGCATATCTCATAAACGAGTAATTTTCAAGAGGTATCCTTCGGGACCTAAAATAATCCAAATGTATACCAATATTTAACGCAACTTTTCGCTATTTGTGTTCAGAGTCAAATTTCCAAAGCGGTCCAAACTGCCTACACTGTGCGACTGATCTTCTACCTTGATCATTACAATATCACCTCTAATAACCAACACGGATTCAGGAAAGCTAAATCAACTTCATCGGCTATTGATCAAGCTCTGGATTTTATCTATGAACAGCTTAACAATAAGAAGAATGTACTAGTTATATTCTATAATGTAACTCGTGCATTTGATATGGTTAACCATGACTTACTCTTTCGTAAATTATACAGCATAGGAATTCGTGGTTTACCATAGCAAATCTCACTGTAAGAGTGCTGAGTTAGGAGTGGTATATTGGGACCAACTCTTTTTATAATATTTTCAAATGACATCTACGATACGTGGACCACACCTAATAGTCATGCTGATGACACAAATATACTCCTAGCCCATAAAAACTTGGAAAGTGTCGTAAATTTGGGTAATTATGCATGTGATGAATTCAGTAAATACTGTAACGACAATGACCTTGTTAGCAATATAAAGAAAACCAAGTTTATCAATTTCTTAACCAAAAACAGTACCTCAAATCCAGATCTAATGAACAACATCAATATGTGTAGTGAAAATCTGGAATACTGTCGCTAGATTTTTAGCAATACTCCTGGATCAAAAGCTGCTATACCGACAGTTTATGTGTAAAGGTTGGCAGTGCAAACTACCCAATTGGAAATTTGCGAGACAGTGTCTCTACAGAAGTTATAAAACTCTGTATCATGGACTGGTACAATCAAGGCTACAGTATGGATTGATCTTCTGGGGTAACTCTGCATATACTGACCGCATTTTTAAGGTTCAGAAAAGAGTCATTGATATTAATAATGATAACAGCAAAAGCAATGATGACAATGATATAATAATGAGGATAGTTCGATTAGGAACACTCGACTGCCTAAACAAAAATCGTCAGTGGGGGCGACCATTGTTATTGTCGGATATTGAAGACACACTGACTTTTGGTGGTATACTCAGTATGAAAATTGAGAGCTCTACAGGTCATTCAACAAATTCCAATCGGAAGCTTTGAAATAAAACAGGATTTATTAGTGAAAGAGCTAATATTAGCTGATATCAATCAATACCAGAGGTAAGACAACTACCTGCTTCATTTAACGGCGAAAGATTGAAAGTTAGGTATAGTGGCACATTTTAAATTGTTTTCATAAATGTTCATAAAAAGAACGATCTGTTTACACAAAACCAATAAACATCGATAATAATTATTTCGTTATTATAGCTGCCTACACATACCTTTCAAGTAAATTGCTGCCTCAGTGCCTATTTCCGGAAAACCAGGCACTCTCGCTTTACAATAATACTTCCCCGCAGAATTATGGTCTATCCTCAGCGTCAAATTGGGACTCGTACTGACAATCTTCTTTTGATCTTCGTGATACCAAGAAATATCGGGAAATGGATTACCATCAACATCGCAGGTTAATATTACGCTTGAGCCGAGGTCAGCTTGGATAGAGCGGGGCCTTGTACGAAACTGTGGACCATCTACAGAAAAAAATGAAGATGTATACCCCAATTTGAAAAGAAGATGGAGTTGAGCTGATTGCAGAACAACTGAGGTAGCTAGATACTATTATACTTACAACTGATATCCAGTGTTTGACTCTCTTCACTCTTCCCAACAGCATTTTGAACCTCACATTTGACAATGGCATCATGATGTTTCCTAGTCACGTTATGGAGGACTAATTCGGTTGTGTAGTCACCTATAAGGGGGTCATCGTTCATGGACCACCTATATGTGACTTCAGAAGGATTGGCATCGGATCGGCAGCCTAACCGTACTTCTGAACCTTCAGGAATTCGTCCATTGGCACTCATTCCCGACAAGACGGTGACTGTTACTTTAGGAGCGTATTTGACCTGGAAAAATCACTCAGTTGAAATGATGTCGATATCCAAATCAACCAAATTTTATTAAAAGAAGAAGAACTTTATTTCCAGATACGCAAGTCTAATATGAACATAATTAAGGTACTTTATCTAAACATAATACATAAAAATCAAAATAAATTAGTATATTATAACCAAATAACAGAAAATCACAAAAAAGAAAAAAACTATATCGCACATTATCCATATAGGATACACGTTTACATATTTACTTATATATTCAATCAAAACAAAGTCTCAGTTATCATTATATTTTAAATATAAATTAGCTTCAATTCAGTTTTTCGTTATGAATATTACCAAGTCCCTCTTGAATAGACGGAGAGAAGAAGAATTTCTTATTTTATTTGGAAGTTTATTAAAACTGTCCAGACCTTTGAAAAATAACGAGTTCATACTGATTCGTGAATTTGTTATTGGGATGTGAAAATTGGTGCTCGATCTAGTATCATGATGATGTACTTCACTATTTGTGATTAAAAGGTTTACTAAGTGTGTTGGTTGCAATTTATTTATTATTTTAAATATGAATATCATAGTTAGATAGTACAGTCGTTGAGAGACATTAGGCCACCTTAAATTACAGAGCGTATTATGTATAGGTGTCATTCTATTGCAGAGTAATTTTATTCGCATTCCACGATTTTGCAATTTTTGTAATTGATTTAATTAGTTCTGATTCGAAAGATATAAGCAGGACATTCAGGAATGGAATCCAGGAACATCATATGAGCTATGTATATAAGGAAACAAATTCAACATATTCAAATCATCTAGAAGAAAATCATATCTTTGATGAAGAGTTCAAAATTTTACACCTAGAAAATAAAGGTTTAAAACTGAATCATTTGGAAGCAATGGAAATTAATAATCTGAAAGTGCGCGAGCTAGCAGAATTAGTAGGTATTTCAAAAAAGCGGAACATCGTATATTATCTGAAAATTTGAATACGAGAAAGTTGTGTGCAAGATAAGTGCCGCGTTTGCTCACACTCGAGCAAAAACAGTGCCATGAAGATGTTTCAATTGAATGTTTAGCGAAGTTTCACAGAAAAAAAGCAGGTGAAACTGTCAATGGCGAGTATTATGCGAACTTATTGCAACGTTTGAGTGAAGAAATCATTCAATAACACCCACATATGGCTAAGAAAAAGGTGTTGTTTCATTACGACCATACACCAGCTCACGAATCCATTATTGCAATGACCAAAATTAACCAATTAAAGTTTGAATTGTTACCTCATACACCCTATCTGCCAGATTTAACCCCCTTTGCTTATTTTCTGTTCCCAATCTTGAAGAAATGGCTCAATGGTCAACGATTTTCCAAAAAAGAAGAAGTGATGTCGCCGGTTATTGGCTTCCTTACACCTTTGCTTATCCAAGCAAAGGTGTAAGGAATCGGGCCGACAGCTGAATGGTCGCAGGGTGATATGCGGTCACGACCGGAATTGGGCGAAACCTCATTCTACTCAGCCTATCTCTGGTAATGCGAGGCTCTGCCAGAGGTGACCAACTCTTCCTTTTGCTACTCGTGGGAACACACATGAATGGAACAACAAAAACCAATCCCGAGGCTGGACAGAAGTGCTCACCTCAATATAAGGCAGTGACTGGGGATGAACAGAAATGTTCACCCCGATCTACCGTTTGGAATGAGGCTGGACATAGATCACCTTGTGATGTAATACATAGGCTAAGGCGTAAGCGCATTAGCGGCGCCGAGGCCAAAAGGAAAAAGAGTGTGAAGGAGGTAGGAGTGGCAGCAACTATGAGTGCACCCTTCTCTTCCTCCACTTCGCCTCCAACAGCAAGAGCACTTCCTGCGGTGGGCGCCAAGATCTCCGCCTTGAATAAAGGCAAGGAACCGGCTACCCTTGCAGAAAAGCTCCCTCACTTGTGCACCTCCACGGGGGAACCCCAAGAAGGTTGAAGAACGACAGTAATGTCGCTGCACCTTCGAGAACCTTCGCGGAGGCCACCGTGAGACACCTCAAGGTTGCCAAAGAGAGTATCGGTGAGTCTTGGCCTACACCTGCCAATATAAAGGAGATGTCTCCTAGTGACCTGTCCATCTTCCTGGCAAGGACAGGATGGACGATGACCTAGGAGGACACCTCCTCGGGAGGATGTACAATGGGTCACATGTGGCCTAAATGTGGTGTGGGTCTACACTCAGCCTCCCTACTCTACAGATACAGAACTGGTATATCGCCTTTGGTAATGTTTACTGCAGTTGCAGGACGAATCCTGCAGATCTCGGATAATAACCAGAGAACAGCAAAGAATCAATATATAGGAACTGAGAAAGGTAGATTTACTGGGTGACTCACTGGACAGAGTACATTTGGTGAACACCTGAACAAAATAGGACTGTATAACAAAGGACTCAGCTGAAGGCAATGCATGTGGCAGCATATTTTCCTCGCGTGCAAGGTACAATTGATGAACAATCCAAATTATGTACAGAAGAATGTGACAAATATCCAATCAAAGAGCTGTACAAAATAGAACAGATATGTCAGACGGCTGCCAAATGAAAAAAAGTGGTGGAAAATTCAGCCTGTATAAAACGAGTTGTTCCAAAGTGTATTTAACCCTTATTCAGTTTTATATTTTGTAGATAATTCATAATTTGCCCAACCAGTTTTAACAGAATCGTATCAGACATTGAAAGGGCATTTCATTCGCTTCAAAATTTTGCACGAATTAAAATGTTACTGTCGATAGAGGTATAGCAGGTTCATCGACCATAAAATCGTTTCGCAAAGCTTGGATTGTCGGATTGATATACATCAATCGACTAAATAAATCACCATACTTTGGCTTTTCCCGTTCAATTTCAGAGTAACTAGTAACTGGTCAATAGCTAATAAAAATTGTATGCTCAACTTTCGGGCGCACAAACTGGGAATCCCCTTTGATGACTGTTAAAAATATTGCAATTGCTGCATATTTGCAACAATATATTCATTCAGCTATGGAGCATTGGGAAATTTGTTGAAATTCTTTATAAGCGTTATTTTTTAAACACTTGAGCTTTGTTGTAGGTTTGCAACTACTGTTTAACACATGTAGGAAGGGCTGCGATTGGAATGAAATATTTGAAGCAAAAATTATTTCTATCAAAAAAATTTTACACACACTAGAATATAGAAACGTATAGTTTCGCAAGATAATGTCTTGACTGAGGTTTATGTGTTCTGATGATGAACGAAACTGTTCTCTGAATGGGCGTTGAGCAGAACTTCCGCTATTAGATTGAAGACAGATCAGGAGATCAATTATATGCTCATCTAATGACGCCAACTTGGCTAGAATATAAGAACAGTGTGTTGGATTCTACGTTCAACTGTGTGGAGTAATGTCAGTTAACTCATGTTACTGAGAGAGTTGAAAAATAGGGTTTCAAATAGAAAGGGTGACTGAGAAAAAGGGTTCCATACTTGAATATGTTCGCAACAATTTGTCAGAACATAAATTTGAATTCGATTTACTACAGAAAGTGTAAAAGAGAATGGTGGGGTGAAAAGAGAGGAAATCATTATTATGTGGTTGGTAGGTACTTGTTTGTACAGGAACGAGAGGTGAATGTCGATTTTTCATAGATTCGTTGTTATCCAGTCAAAAAGAAACAATAATATCTTCAGTTCTACACAAAATCACATACGTAGAACATACAAGCTTTATGAGTATGTATGTTTGAAAATGGAAAACTTTTTAGGTCAACAATTCATGGTTACACAGAATATTTGTTTTATATGTTCATGAATCAGCAAAAACAAAGCTGGATACTGGAATAGAAGAGACTGACTTTTCAGGGAATCTTCATTGCATGAAGGCAAAGTATGAACCACAACAACCACGACAAACTGGAGTTGATGTAACACTTTCTAAAAGCAATTGGAAAAAAATATATCATATAATGGAATGTTTTCAAAATCAAGTGGTGAGAAGTTGAATGCGGGTTAATAAATGAACCAATTGAATTAGCAGTATGGCAGTTGACAGAAATGTTCGTGAGAAAATTTCTAACGAGTAATATAGGTGTTTTTCATTATAAATCATTATTCCAATATTTGTTTGATTTTTTATCTAAATTTGATTTCATGAAAACTGAAGTTTTGATTGTGTGGAATCAACTATATAACATTTATGAACATTAATGCCCTTGTTTTTCTGGAAAAATTATTACAAGGTCAGCACATTTTCATCTTGGTAAGCGAATACTCAATTCTAATCCTCAATTATATTAAAAAATCAACTCTGGCACAAATCTTCAGCATAGTAATAGTAAGAATATTTTTTGTTTTCTTTAAAACCATCTTATCTAAGTATTAAGGCGTAAGAGTAATTATCTTACCATATTTTCATAACACCACCTTCGCTATCGAAAACAAACATTTTTATCATCAACCCAATCCGCGAAATGATTTCATGTTCAATTCAATTCTATAACAGTTTCAACATTTTTGATCTAACCGACCGTACTATACTCCACTCTAACCTTTCACCCTCTCAATCGGCTACCAAATGAAGCAAAGTGCCGAATAACGATAACCCTTCACTGACCTCCAATTTTAATTTGGCCGACCTATGCGTCCTTTCCGCCGTGTTCTGAGCCTGGCACGTGAACGTTGTGTTGTGGTGTACTTTCCTGGGAGTTAATTTCAAAATGGATTTCGCAGTGAATCTCCTGCCGTCCGGGAGTTTCTCTACGATGTTTTCGATGCCATCTGTCAACACGTTACCTGGAAATGATGAACATTTATTAGATTAGATTATGAATGAATTAATCCAAATTGTGGTACAATATAAACCACCATAATTTCGAATTGATACCAGGAGAGACTAAAAAATTGTAACGACAAAACTGAATCAACACTCTGTTGATCCCGGTGATCTCTATCTTCAGTGTGTACATTGTTGTTATCTGCTAATCTGTGGTAATCTCTTACAGATTATATCAACTCTTTTCAATTAGGGAATATTCAAACACCAAATACAGTATACTTGTTTTAGTAATGAAGATTCCTAATGAATTCTTCTAAAAACTATTATGGGACATACCTAAACCATCTATCCAAGTGATCTCTGCTGCAGGTTTTCCTCCATAACTCACGCATTCCAGTTCAATTTCTCTGTCTTCAGTTGTCACCAAATAGTCCCCTTGAATAATTTTTGGGGGATCCGGTGGTACCAGTACTGTCAGTTTAGCAAAATGACTTCGTATGCCTGGCTGACCCAATGCTCCAGGTGACACCTGACATTCGTAACGAGCATCATCGTCTAGCATAACGGGGTATATTTCTAGGGAGAAATCACCTGCAATAAAATTAATAAAGTCAATTTTTCAGTCAGTTGTTGAATGCATACTGCTCGATTCAAAAACAGAGGTTTCTGTATGATCAACAGTCTTGTTCAGAACATTACTGGAATTTCATCCCAATACCAAACCGTTATTTTCGATCACCAAGTGATCATCTTCAAGAGAAGATTAAATTATTCAATCTTCCTCTTGAAGATGATCACTTGGTGACTGAAACACCTGTCGAGGTGTTGAAAATAGCGGTTTGGTGTTGGTATAAATCTCCAGTAATATTCATTCTACACACTGCATCAGAAAGTCTTGTTCGGGTGAAAATAACGTTGCCTAATTTCTTCATCAAATGATACGTTGTTGTTATCCTATTAAAACAGTTTTTTAATTGTTCTATAAAATATGTCGAATATTTTGTACCGTGAAAGTATCTAGAATCTAGAATTTAAAATGCTCATGTCACTGCAGCAACTATGTTAATCACGGATCTACAAAAAAGAAATTGTCGCGGAAGAAAGGCCGTGAAAGACGGCTTTTGGCGATCTTCTGGCACAATATGTCTAAATCTCCATTCAATTTTATTGATTTCCAAATCTGCATAGACTCCCTCAATGAATGATTTATTGAATAAGCGGGCTATAATTAGAATGAGCTTTGGCATAAGATACTTCAAGGGTGATTTACCGCTGAATACTTTGCTGACGGATTCCAATATAATATTTTGTTTATTCTCATCAAACCCCCTTTCTATAGATAGTAGCGAATTTGCACGTGTTTGTCCGAATAATAACATCGTTTTAATTGTGGTGGTTATGTTGGATTTCCGAACAACGGCCACTTGCTCGCCACCCATTTCATAGCAAGATTCCTACTACTGGATAGGTAGCACTGCTTGGTGACATCTGACAGTGTGAACTTCCATTCGAAATAATATAATTTTTTTTCACGAAATAAGCCCCTAAACACGTCTTGGATTTATTCACATAGTCATATTTTAGTATGACTATATTTATTTTTATAACAATTTTATTAGCACTGTTTATCCTTCGTAAATGAGAATTTCCAAAGTTAATGAAACCCGTTTACTCGAATTGGGCGACTCTCTTCTCCTACATAACGTAGGCATTCATAAATACGAAGAAATGATCCATTCTGCTCAGAAATTAAACCCGGAGTCTTCCACAAAAGCTTCCTGCTCATAATTTGTTTGCCTTGTTAAAATTTCATGCCACCATAAAAGTAACGAGCTGGAGTATAAAGGATAAGTAAATCTGCTTTGTAATTTACCGACATAAAGTCTGGAGTACCAAGATTACACTGTAAAATGTAAGCAGCATTTTTTTCTCTCACTACGAGTAGTGGTATTTGGCCATTTCTGTGTTATTTATCCGAAGTCGAGAGGTGAATTTCCCGGTCTGTAGCGAGCGTCGTCATCTTCAAGCAAGGGTGTACGATACTATCGTAACTACGATAATGATAACTAGATATCGTAAAAACAGAATGTCATAAAGGAAGTGGAAAGAGTTAATATCGTCGTCTTTTCAGCAATTTGTAGAAAATTCCAGACCTTTTCTCAAAACGGAAGGTAGACATTAACCTTTACAACGCCTCTGAGAACAAAACGTTTTCGCAGGACCGTAATAAAATCTTCTACTTTTATGTATTTGAACGTATTTAGGTGCGGCAATCAGTGGAAAACGTTTTCATTGGGACATACGTCATCTCCATTGTGTATTTTGAATCCTTCAACTAGGATATCTCATTTATCGCTCAACATTGCATGGGATTTTCTCTACTGTACGTGGAATGTTAAAAAAATAACGTGAATTTCGATTTTTCTCAAGAAACATTTATTCATTTAACAATTTCTATTTTCACCCCTTCTCGACCTTCTTGTGTACCACTTGTGAATATTTTTATTCTGATCCTCAGTTGGCTTTGGAGAAGGCGTTAATCCAGTCTGAAATATCATAGTTTCTCAGCTCTTAGCTGAATGAGGAAGTTTTAAAAGAGCACTGTGCTGATGTGCCTAACTGACGAACCAACGACAGTAAGTTCGAGCCAGGTATTTTTTCGCGAAAATTTATCTAATTGAAAGTGGACTAGTTTTGATTAAGTTATGAAGCTGATGGGCCTGGCAATAGCTATGTTTCTGTCTGGATAGCCTACCTAGAACACAAGATTGGTAACAAAGTGTGCTGAATTCACAAAAATATCTTATAAGCCTTCTACTTTGAGTGGATGAGTTGCTATGGTCATCAGGAATTTAGATCTTCCTCTCTATAAGATCGTGATACAATTGATTCGAATAATGAAGTGAGATGATGCCGATTTTGCCTAGTAAAGTAAGAGGATATGAATAGTGGTGTTTCTTATCTCATACAAAATGAAACAACAACAGGGCAAACTGTACCAGATATCAAGAACCTCAGACAAACATTGTATAGTTATTGTGGCTACTCTCCGATCAAATCTTGTTCTGCCAGTGATGGAGCATTTTTTTTAAAGATAGTCGATTTAATTGAAATAGAGTTTCAGTTAGGTTGATGTGCATTTCAATTATTAAGCAAATAATTCAAATATCAAAAATCATTGTTAAACTAGTGAACATTTCTCTCTAATCTTTCGAGAAGAATAATCTAACATGAGAATCAATTTACTTTTCAGATCAGAATGAGAACTCTAGGAATCATTTTGTTGTTTTCTAAGAAATTACCCCAAAACTTGAATGATGCTAAAGTCCTACTCACAAAGAACAGAAATACAATGAAAGCTATACAAAAATTCAGAATGAGTGACCAAAGGAAATTTTTTGAGCTAATCTTTTTTTTTCTCATATACGCGGTCACTTTCTTAAGAGTTGATGCTATACTTTTCTGAAGTTGCAGTACCCCGACTGAATATTCCAAAAGGAACAGTCTTATTTTATTTCAGAGAGTACTACAACTAGAAAATATAAAATAATTGTCATCGTTCCTTTGTGTTAATTCCGATATATTAGTATGAAAATAGGGATATAATTCTTACAGGTAAAAAACAGCTTTCATTGAAATTGATTTACATTAGATAAGAAAAAAATAGAATCAACGAGTGTTAACTCAATTTTCACTTTCTGACATAGAAACAAAAACAAATATTTACTTGAATAGCAAGATACAAGTTCAGGATTTCTGAATTTCTTATTTGAAATATTCGAATGAAAAAAAATCTAGTTCAATGTCCTTGGAATAATAGAATTTCATATTTGGAATACGAGCCTCCTATTAATCACAATTTTGATGTGAAACGATATGGTATGTGTTATTACGTCGGACCCTATAATTTCCAACACGAAACCTGCAATAAGGAATTTCATGAAAAAAAGGACTGTTTGAAATTCTCTTTGTGAAATTATGGGTAACCACCATTTGATTTTTACAGCTACTTCAGAATATTTGTCGAGTATTTATTAAGATTATGGTTAGCAAATGAATATTACTGGAGTTTTATCCCAGTACCAAATCATTATTTTAACACCTCGAGACGTGTTTGGATCACCAAGTGATCACCAAGTGATCAAGCTAACATAACATATGGTATCAGTCAAAATCAGCCTGTTTTATGCGCTAGAAACAAGAAAAATTGGACGTTTCGGATGCCTTCCACCTACAGAAGCCGTAGTGGACATTTGAACGATGTTATATTCCTGTATTCAAATTCAAAGACAAGAAGAGCCCAGTGGAAGACCATATATTTAACTTTTTGAAGCACAGCGGGTAGTAATTCAGGCAAGATGGTAAGAGTACGGATCTGCCGAACTCTAAGAACCTGATTTGGTCCTCAGCGGGGCAGGTACAAGGTATATGCTCTGCTGTTTCATCATTTTCCAAACAGAGGCGACACACACTGTCCGGCTCTCTGCATATGATGATTCAGATGACAGTGACCTGTAAGAAGGCCTGTTAGACATCGTAGTTCATCCCTACTGTAGTCCAACAACTGTTTGGTATCAAGCTTCGTCCCTACTGTAGTCCAACAACTGTTTGGTATCAAGCTTTGAAGGGTGGATAAAGGCCTTGGAGTGAGCCAATCCTGGAAGATTCTGCCAGAAGTCCATAAATCTTCTTGCCATCCAGATATTCAATGTTTGTTTGGCAAAGCCCAAAGCGATGCCAATGACAGGTTCTGGTACGATGAAGCCGCTTGTTGCACCCTCCTTTTCATGAGAGTCAGCAGCTTCATTACCTTCCAGGCCAATAGTAGAGTGGTTTGTGGCAATTTGCTACCTCGGTAGGAGCCAAGAGCTTCCAACGCCGCTTGACTGTCCGAGAATATGTTTATTGACTTGTGTGTGAGGTTGGATGTATCCAATCTTTCCGCACACAATTCAATAGCGTAAATTTCTGGTTGAAATACAGTCGCATACTTTCCTAGGCAGGTAGATATCTCTGTACTAGGTCTGCGACTAAAAACACCTGCACCAGAACCGGAAGGTGTTTTTGATCCATCCGTGAACCAACAACTATCTACTCTTAAATTTTCCTTCTCCCGGAGGATCCAGTCCTCTCTACTCGGAAATAGTACTTTATAAGGCAGTTCGTAGTTGACAGTTGGAGACATACAGTCAGATGTCATTTCTAGAATGCTGTGACTTCCAATGTCAACCAACAGTCTGTGGCATTCTGCATTGAACTGATTTGTGCAATTGGCAATGTACACAAGGCTGTATGCAGTCGATCTAGGCTCTCTCCAGAAAAATGGGGAGAGGAGGTAGATGTAGAAGGATCTCCATGGCCGCTGACGGTGTGGTACTGATGGCACCACTGATTGCCAGTGTCTAGTGTGTACCACAAATTTTTATCAAGCAAGATGGTATACGTTGTAAACCACAAATAGAACTTGCTTTCTTTTAAATCCATTGCGGTTCAGTTCATGAACCACGTAACAGCTTTGCTTCCTGAAGAGCACGTGTTGATTCTCGCTTGAATTTTTATCCAATCAACGGCAGGCATGGCTATATTTGTTT